CAGAAATGTGACTCTGAATCTAACCCATTCACTTGAACCCCCCAAGAAAAAAGCTGAACAGAACTTTCAAGGGCAAACAGCGGGTATGAGCTCATGTACAGTGCGGTGGCTCAAGTGGTTAAGACGCTGAACTGCAGGCTGTGGAAGGTCAGTAGTTCAGCGGTTCAAGACCCGGGTGCCGCAAGACAGGGTGAGCTCCTGTCTCTAGCTCCAGCTCCTGCCAACCTAGCAGTTCGAAAGCAAGAAATTGCAAGTAGATAAATAGGGACCACTTCGGTGGGAAGGTAACAGCGTTCCGTGCGCCTTGGTGTTTAGTCATGCCGGCCACATGACCACGGAAACGTCTTCGGACAGCGCTGGCTCTTCGGCTTTGAAACGGAGATGAGCACCGCAACCCTAGAGTCGGATTCGACTGGCTTTCGAGCAAGGGAACCTTTACCTTTACCTTTACAGTCCGCCTTGAATTCATTTTTAGAACAAAGGGAATCATTCCATGCCAGTGGGGTGGACAGAACAAGATATCCTCTGAGAATATGCCGAGTAGCAAGTTTCCAAGCAATGCTACAGCTCCCCCCATTTCAAAGTCCTTTCCTACAGTGTTAGTCTTGTTAATCAAGTTCATAAATGAGCACATCTTTCCTTTCTAAAACGTGTACCCATGCACAATGGCAAAGTGTTTTCTTGCAAGAGAATGTTGAAATATGCCTGACTTCCTGAGTTGCGGCTTGCCAAGACTTTAGCAACATCTCCTCGTTACCTAGTCATAAAAACCTACATAATCTCCTGTCTTCATATTCAGCATGGTAACAGCAGGCCAGAGGCTGGGTGAGTGGGGGAGGCTGAGAGGGACCTTTTTACCAACCTCCACCCAGCCCCTCTGTCCACTCTTAGTCCCGCTTCTCCAGTCACTTCCATGAAGGCAGTTTCAGAGGGTAGCTGTGTCGGTCTGCAGTAGAACAGCGAGATCTGCATCCAGGAACATCTTACCGGAGACCAAGAAGATTTTTTGGCATGCAAAAGGACTCAGGTTCAAACCCTGGCAGCATCTCCAGTTGAAAGGACCAGGCAGCAAGTGATACGGAAGACTCTGCTTGAGACCACCCTGGACAGCTGCGGTCCTTACGAGCACGTAAGACTGACCCTGATGGACTCCAAGGGTCTGATTCAGTAGAAGGCAGCTTCATGTGTCCATAAAAGACTGTTACGTTCCAGTTACCCAAAAGAGAGGACTATCCTCGATCACATGAACGCGTGAAGCGGCCTCGTACTCAGTCAGACCCTCAGTCCATCAAAGTCAGTATTTTCTACTCCAACTGGCAGCGGCTCTCCAGGGTCCCAGGATGAGGCTTTTCACATCACCTTCTTGCCTGGTCCTTTTAGATGGAGATGCTGAACCTGTGGCCTTCGGCATGCCAAGCAGATGCTCAACCACTGAGCCAGGGGCCCCTTCAGTGTAATACTTATGAAAGCAACGTTTAGGAAATGATAATGGAAGCAAGGACCCAAATCCACCAAATTCCACAATGGTAGAAAAAACATGGGCCACATTTACGACTCACAGCAGGAGGTTCCCCCCCCCCCCGCTCCCACAAGCAGCAGGAGAAAAGACCTGCATTAGAAACGACATCCAGCAACACGTGATGTCACATCAAGCCACCAAAACACCAAAATGTGATGTAAACGCACCAGGTGACACCTGGCCATCCGTGAGGACTCCGGTTCTCAGGGGTGGACAGAGCGTTGCCCAACACTGTCATGTCCGAGTTTTCATGTGGATGAGACGTCACATCCTATCTGGCCATTGCTCTGCCCCTAAAATTCCCGAGGATGCCAAGCTGCATAGTGCAGGGCAGCCCCATAGCTAGCAACTTTTTGCTGGGGGGGGGGATGTGTCTCTCAGGGGGCCTGCCATTATAGGTCTGTGGGGTACTGCCATGTCATGCTCATACTTCTAAATAATAACTAAATTAGAAAAGACACCTTTAGACATTTCTCTGCTAGTTTGGCATATTTATTGCTTTACAGCTGTTGACCTTATAACCTTAACTTGCTATTTAGTTTTCACTTTGCATAATTTGATCATCACTGTAGATGGAAGAATTTAGGCAGGGATTTAACCTGGGATCTCTATGGCATGCCACAGAAGCACACCCTCGGAAGCTGCCATTTTCAACAGCAGTCTGGAGATCAGTTGTCGCCATTCCTGCATCTTGGCCAGCCCTCCCTATGATCCAGGGTAAATTTAAGAGCCTGACTCCTGGATTACCAGATGCCACCAACAGAAAACAGCGCATTAACCGAACACCTTTAGGTCTGAGAGAGTCGCTCAACTGATGGCTGTTTAACGAGGTGAAGATGGGCTGTACTAAAAGGAAGAACAGGATGGCCCACTGGAAACAATGGGAAACACTTGAAGGCCCATTGGAAATCATGGGAGCCAGGAATGCCAACTGACTTGCATGGGCTCCATTGAAATACATTACAGCACAAGTAGAGTTGCAATAAAAATGCGGAATGGATTTTCCATTAGGGTCTCTGGGCCCAAACACTCTACTCTGGTTCTGGAATGATAGGCCCCAGCTTGGACTGACAGCCCCTAGGAGTAACAGAAGTCTTTTGGGACTGGGATGAGAGGCCCCAGAGTAGAATGACAGCCCCAGAGGGTGGCAGAAGTGGTCTTTCTCTCCTGGGCTGTTGGGATAGATTGAAAGACCTGGTGGCAACCTACCAAGGCTTTGGTGAGTTTTAGACTCTCTCAAGTATTTTGTAACTTTGTTTTGCAATGCACTCCCCTTGAACCAAAAGTTCCTGCCCTGGATGGGACTGGCACTTTTGACAGCCACCTCGACAAGACTGATGGGCTGATTGTAAAACTCTGGGAGGCAACAGGCAGCCCAGAGATGAGGCTGGCACAATGCTCACATCTTCATGCTTTACGGGGGCTCTAGAATGATTTAAAGCCAAACCAGCTTTGTAGGCTGGAAATGAACTGAAACAGGAGATTATGCCCGGTGCTCCCAGACCCGGGTTCTGGAAACCAGCACAGAACACCGGCCATTGGCTGCCTAATCTACTCCTGTTCACGATCATTAGCAGCTGTCTTCTCCAGAGTCAGGAGGAGGTTTGCTCCAGCCCTGGTACCCAAGATTACTGTAACTGGAGAAGGTGGGAACTGAACTTGGAATCTTCTGCATGCAAAACATGAGCTCCATTACATCACCCATCACCACCCGGGTTGGGTACTTGGGTGCAAGATTTATTACAGCCATCAATTCCGTAGTGGTCTTAGACAAATCAATATGATTCAGCCTCAGTGCCAAATCAATAAAAAATAACAGCAGAGGTGCACACGTCAAACTTCTAGTTGTGACCCAGTCACTACAGATTCTTGTTACATCAGGAACACCACAGGTAAATATGAAAATGAAAACGCAAACTACGTGCACACGGCGCCCAGCAAGAGATCTGTGACCAGATCAGATCTCTCCTTGTCCACAGTGTGGACTGATTATGCATGAATCAATTCATGTGTAAAGCAGGGGTCAAAGTGAGAGGATTTAATTTTACAAAAACAAAGCATGGGAGGAGAGGTGGTATGGCCCCTTCAATTTATGAACATGCAGGAAGCTGCCTTATACTTGATGGTCCATCAAGGTCAATATTGTCTACTCAGGCTGGCAGCAGCTCTCCAAGAATCTCAAGCAGAAGGCTTTCACATCACCTGCTACCAGATCCTTTAATGGGAAATGCCAGGGATTGAACCTTTTGCGTACCAAGCTCTACCACTGATCCACAGTGTCTCCCCTCTTGCTGCACTCTGCTGCTGAAAGTCTTTAGTTCTAACTCAAACAGGACACAGTATCTTATTCTAAGAGACTGAAAGGCTGGACAACACATCCAATTACCATGTCAGATTACACAGGGAAGCCATTGAAATTCATAAACATAAACACAATTTCAACAGGAACAAAGAGAGTTTAAAAATAAATAGGGCATGGTCTCCTGTCCTGAAAAACACAAAATGCTCTACATCTTACAAAAGCACTACAGATAGGATTAGAATTTCAACAGCCAATCCATATGCAAAAGAACCTCCTCAGGAAAGCTCCTCCATTAGCATGTCACAGCCTGGGGAACTCCTACAAGATAATGACTCAGCCCTACCCCACCTTCCTGAGTAGATATAAATTACCTGCCTACCATTTTTCTTCTCACCTTGACACAGGGAGTACTCGATTTTTCTGTGTTATAACTCTGAGGGTGCCAGTCAGAGTTACTAGTGGAAATGTCAGGTTCTACAATGCCAAGACCACAGCCATACAGCCCGGGAAATCTACAACAACAAATCTTTAGTTCTCCCCTTGGAAGTCAGTTAGATCCTTCTTTTCTTAGCCCCTTCAGAATATTTCCGAGTCAGAAGACTGCATCTTAAAGAAGACTGCAGCCCCCAAAGCCTCATGTTTTTGTTCCTCTGTCCATAAAGTCTTCCCGCTTTGCCTCTCTTGAGCCACAGACAGCTCGAGAATGGGAATGACTGAGGCAGTTCTTCTTCGGGGGGGGACTATGGGGGAGAGCAACCTCCCAGCCTCTGGCCAGCCAGGGACCCTCCTGCCACTTCCAGCTTCCTCTGCCTCACCTCCACTCCGACCCGGTGGATGGAGCAGCTAGCCCTCTCCATTCTTCCTCAGGTCTCTTTAAAACCAGTTCACCAAGCTATACAGGACTTCCCAGATCTTTGCAAGATTCCACCCTCTCACAAGAATTCGGCCATCGTTTTAGTTGCCTAAGCAACTGCGATAACCGAGCAGGGCTGCCAGGGCAACCAAAATGATGTCCCAACTCAAAAGAGGATGAAATGTCGCAACCTGCGGGTCTTGCTGCACTGGTTTAAAGAGGCCCAAGGGAATGTGGAGGCACACTGGACTGGACAAGCCGCTCTGTTCCATGGGCAGGGGCAGAGATGGGGCAAAACGAGGTAGCAAAACACTCTGACCTCTTACCTTATGTTCTGAGCAGGATTCATTGTCTCCTCTTGCATATTATTGGTAATGGCTGTGTGTCCTTCCGGAACGGATTGCATTAAATGAACTGTCCGGTAAAGCTGCGTCGGATGTATTGACTGAGCAGACTGCATCGTCCTCAGAACTTCGGATGCCATGGCTGGCAGTTGTTGAGCAGTTTCCACCGGCTGCTTCAGTTTCGTAGACTTTGAGTTTCCTGGTACCTTGAGAACAGCGGCAGATCCTCCCCGGGGTCCCATGCTCGAAGGCACTTTGGCTCTGCCTGCTTGGTTCCTATTGGCTGCAGGCACTGACAGCAAAGTTGCATCAGGAGAGTCCAAGCTTGAACTTGACTCATCATCGTCTATGTAGATAAGATCTTTCGGCATATCCTTGAATTGGTACACCAGACGCTGCCCTTCTACTTTTGCCAGAATGCCTCTCTGGTAATAATATCTGTTTCAAGTAGGAAGACACACCAACAGTTACATCGAGAAAGATACATGTCTACGTATTTCAGGAAAAAAGCCCTGCCCAAAAATTTTAAATGACCGCTGCTGGTGGAAAGCGCCATCAAGTTGCAGCCAAACCTCTGGTGACCTCATGGGGTTTTCAAGGCAAGAGCCAGTCAGGGGTGGTTTGCCTTTCCTGCCTTTGCATAATGACCCTGGACTTCCTGGCTGGTCTCCCCTCCAAGCACTAACCGGGGCCTGCCCTGCTGAGCTTCTGAGGTCTGACGAGACCAGGCCAGCTTGGGCCATCCAGGTCAGAGCGATAAACAACTGATTTAACGTTAGTAAGGAATCATCACACCCACACATTTATTTCCAATAAAGAGCAGATCTCACTGCACTTCCACAACAGTGCTGAAGCTGCGACTATCTGAGCATCGTTCTGCATACTAGGGAACAGCACACAGGTGGTTTGGTGCTCAGACCACAGCTGTGGTCTGGCATGGGTCTGTTTCAAAGGGCAGCTATTTTGGTCTGTAGCAAAACAGCTGGATTCAAGTCAAGTCCGGCAGCACCTTAGAGACCAACAAGAGTTTCAGGGTAGGAGCTTTCAAGAGTCAAAACTTATACCCCCCTCCCCCAACTCTTGTTTTCCTCTAAGGTACTCCTGGACTCTGGACTTCAGTCTAGCTGTTCAGAGGGGACTGATGAACAGTCAGGGAGCACCCAGCTGGGCAAGCCTGTGAAGCTGAAGGGCCGTGAAGGACCTGTTCAGCCTTTAGATGGGAGATCGCAGGAGCTATGGACAAGAAGAAGAAGAAGAAGAAGAAGAAGAGACCCTGCCCCTCACTACCCAAAGGAGTCTCAGAGTGGCTTACCAACTCCTTTCCCTTCCCCTCCCCACAACAGACACTACACCTATCTCAACAAGACAAGAGCCTTTGGATGCTTTTGATTGTCATATTACTCTTTATTTAGAGTAATGCCTTTTCTCTTGAACAGGAACACAAAGTGGCTTTCGACATCATTCTCCCTGCCTCGCTTTATCCCCATAACAACACCCCCTGGGAGATTACAACATGAAATATTAGCTCATTCACAATTTCAGAACAATGGGGACCATCACCCACCTTGGATTGAATAGGGACACAGGACTCTTATCTCACTACAAAGGCGAATGATCCGCTCCTAGACTTTTCACCCTGCTCTAATCAAGTGGATGACAGTTTGCATTGTACCTCTGCGTCCGGACTCCCTTGCAATGCCCCTCCTGCCCTCTCTGACCAGGATAGAAGGGCTCAAGGACCTCCATTCCTCCTTGTACCTGACAAAGGGAGCCTTGACTCTCGAATGCTCATATCCTGGAAATCCTATATTGGTCTTTAAGGTGCTGATGGACACTCGAATTTTGCTCTTCTACCACACACCAACATGGCTACCCACCCAAAATACATTCAGAGTGAGATACCCAGGGTGAGTAACACTCGAGGGAGGTAAAGCAGATTCTGATGATGGTGAGTACCCAGGCATCCCTGGCGATGTGCTCTCAGGCAAAAAGTGATGGGGTGAAAGACTGCACGTAGATGCACTTGAACATTTTGAGCACTGAGAAACTGAGCTTTACAGGACGGTTTGTCAAAGATGGAGGGATAGGGTCTGTGACCTGAAGACTGCTCATAAGGGGAGTGAAGGGGCTATTATGCTGTGTGCCTCTGAACCTCTGTTCGCGTCTCTCTGGTTTGATAATACCAAAGGTAACACCCATGGAATGTGCAGAACTGAGCTTCTGAACACATTCTAAGATATCATCTACTTTTATGCCGAACAAGCCCCTTCCATCAAAAAGTAAACCTTCGATACTGTCTTGTGACTCTCCTGTTAGGGCAGACAGCTCAGCTGGCCATGTCTCTTTAAGGGAAATAGAGCCGGTCCTCGTATTTGACCTGCAATCCGCCACATTTTTCAGGCATACGGCCTTCTTTGGAAGATCAGAACAAGAGATCCTGTATCTGACAGAAGACCATCAAGCACGGGAGTAATTTATTTCACACCGGAAATATTGATTATGAGCCGTTCCAGCCAAGTAACTGGCAATCCTGACTGGAAAATGTAGAGGAGAAGAATTTGTATCTCAAGCCACCAAGCTTTTTGCCCACTTATTAGGCAAACCAGAGTGCTGTTTTTGTTCCCCTAGCTCTGGAAGACTTTTGCTATGATAGAATTAAAAGCAGCAAAGATTTCCCACAGCTGTTCACTGCCAAGGAACAATGTGTCAGACCAATAGAAAGAACTGCTGGCATGACAGAACATCCATCAGATAGATCCTGGACATGAATTTCAGATACAGTGGGGAGAGGTGACCTGAAGAATGCATTTCAGACTAAGCAACCAAATGATTTACGTAACAGCAACAAGAACTTTGGGGCTATCACCAATGGGGTTCAGGAAGGAAGAGTCCCAGAAGCCTTATCAGAGCCTTCCGAATCCAATGGGGAGTCATCTTTCTCTTTGGACGAGGAGAGCATAGATAGATTCTGTCTGAGGACTGTTGGTGCTGAGATGCCACCATGGCAGTGCCTGTCGTCACTGTGACTGTGCCAAGGAGAGACGCCTGCAGTTGGTAGCTGGCAGTCCTGACAGAGAGCCCCTCTGAGGAGATGAGGAAAGTCAGGGAAACCCCAGGAAGGCATGAACGCACCGTAATGCGGTGGGGAAGCAGGAAAGTCCCTCATTTCCCAAGAGCATCAAACCTGGGGCAAACAACATGTGCGGAAATGACCAAAAATATGTGGATCTGCAGGAGAGCTACAAAACTCACCCCAAAAGAAAGAAAAATAGGAAAATGTAAAGACAGAAAGAAAAGAATTGAAGAACTTTTGCTACCTCCAGTGGTCCAAAGAGTGCTGCTGTTGTGGCAGATGGAAAACAATTCTGCCCCTCTAAGTCTGCATGCTCAGAGTGGGGTGCACGGGGGCCTAAAACCTTGGCTCTGGGGTTTCAAGGCAGTGCTCCATGCACATGAGAAGCCCACAGTGTTCCTTTACAGACACGACAAAAAACCCACTTCTGATCTTCATTTTTCTCATGCAGTGTTATAGAGCAAGATGTGAAAGTTCCACCTGGTGAACAGGAAACACCTTCTCCCCCCCCCCACACACATGCAGAAGGATCCCTCTGGTTCCAAGCCACAGATTCAGACCTCCCATCACATGTTTTAAGAACTGAAAGATTTAAATGTAAACAATGTATCCCACTAAAGTTAATGATCTGTTTTGAAGGTGAAGTAGATACCTGCTTTTCAGATCATTAAACAGAAGATAACTATTATAGAAAAGACTTATGCCTTTTCATAATCTTATGGAAAGCATAAGAGGCCAGTGAAATGAAGTGATGTATACATTTAGAAAAGTGAGGAGCAGCTGAACACACAGGAGGCTGCCGGATACTGGCTCAGGCCCCCCTCGGTCCCCCAAGGTCAGTCTTGTCTACTCAGGCTGGCAGTCGCTCTCCAGAGGCTCAGGCAGAGAAGGGTCTTTCCCGTCACCTCCTGGCCTGATTCTTTCGACTGCACAGATGCCAGGGACTGAATCTGGGGCCTTCTGCATGCCAAGCCGATTCTCTCCCACTGAGCCACGGATGAGAATGGGGAGTGGGGAAGAGAGGAGATGCATGTGCTGCCCAGGGCTCCTTGGAGAAGGGGCAGAAGGAAGATGCAAATAAATAAAGCGTAGGAAAAAGGATGGACATCTCTTTCTGTATTTAGAAATTCACGTGTGTCATATTTTATTTTTTATTTCTTCTTCTTTTTTTAATAATTTAAAAATATGAAAACGTGTGTCATATTTTATGAACCAACATTTTAACACCTAGTATTTTGAATTTTTGAAAGTTAAGGAAATTATTAATTTTTGATCTTGGGAACCAGTCTGGAACTCCAGCTTGAATAAAAACTGGAAAGATATGGGAGAGAAATTCAGATGAGCAATGGTATAAAATATTTACAAATTAATATTAAGTACTGGCTTTGTTACACATTCTTCAAATGTTTGCTTTTACAGCTACTGGGTCTGTTTCATATCAAAAGAAAAAGCTTAATTTTGTCTTAGCAAGCATAAACATTTGGCATCTTCTTGAAATCACCTACCTGAGGGCCCTGCCCATTGTTTCATAGTTCATATCAGGTTTGTTTTTGTGCTTTCCCCACAACCTGGACACGGCCTTGGAATCCACTAGTTTAAAAATGCCCTTCTCTCTTTGAGTCCATTTAATATATTTAGGACAGGTAGCTTTGTCCTGAAGTAGGGCTAGTAAGAACTCCCAGAGATAAATGGTGTTTCCTGAAATAAAGAAATAACCTTTTAGAAATAAAACACCCCATGCAATGAAAAAAATAAATAAATAGCAAAACATAATTTTTTAAAAGAGTCTGTAGTCTTTCACTGACTTTTTCAATACCTAGCTTTGAAGCAAAAATTTGAAGCCGACTATTTCTCATTTTTTGCTTTGCCTGGGCAGGTGTCATGCATGCTCTCTCTATTGACCTTCTGAGATGGGCCAAAAACAGGAGGAGATCTCCACAATGGATGCAGACAGGAGAAAGTACCCAAAACCACAACAGTACCATTTTTTCTTCTTGCCCCTGAGGCTGCAGTGGTACATTTAAAATGTGACGCTAATTTTTGTTGTTGTGGTCTTTCATTCTTAAAGAAAGAGATGTGTGTGGGGGGTATTCTGTTTGGCTCCTCCTCCTCCAGAAGACATTTTGGATTAGGCATTATGTCCTGTGGAAGCCATTTTGGGGTGGTCATCACTACCTCTTCTCAAAATTCCAGATGTGCCTGCAGGCTCAAAAGGGTTGGGAACTCCTGGCCTATAATGTCTACATCAGCCATAATAGTGAGAATCAAAAACATGAGACCAACCATGCCTTAGGAGCATATTACTCTTCTGAAGAGGGGAGTCCTCTTGGTGAAATATACTTCTAGTAAACTTATTTCCTCTGCAAAATGAAGCAGCTAGGCTGAAGGAGGGCAAACTGCTTCACACCAGCTGTGCCCTGGACTCCAGATTTCATCTAATCAACCCTACACAGCAGATCCACTGCTTGCATTGCCCGTGCTTACCCTTCCCATCCTTGTTCTTCTTCTTCACGGATATGTTTGGAGTCAGAGTAGGGGAATCTGGACGGGCAGGTTTGGCTTTCTTTCCTGGGGAAGGGGGGGGGGGGAGAAAGCAAAAACACTGCTGTGAACAGGGAGGGGACAGTACATCCATTCAACCCTATTTTCCCCTGCATTCTGAATAACTGAATTGCGTGAAAGCACTACATACTTTAAAGGATCTGAGCAGCCAGACTGGATCCTGGGTCAGTACAACTTTCCAGTGCTTATTCTATTTGACTGCACTGCAGGTATTAACCTCAAAGATTTATTTAATTATCTAAAAACAAAATATTTATATTTATTCCATTTAGGTATCCGGCCCAAAACTCTCCATTTTATTAACGAAGGCTTCTTGTAGCTGTGAGTCATTAGAATGCGTTCAGAAGTTCCTAGTTCAAATCCCACTTCAGCCCTGAGCTTCTTAAAACAACTCATTGACTGTCCCACCTCAACCCTCCGCCATCTCATTTTGGGATCAATAATGCAGACAGCTCACAGGGCTGCAGAAAGGGTTACTGGGACAATATATGCAAGGTATGATGGCTGAGCATTGTTATTTACTATATATAAATGGTCATCAGTGTTAGTAGCAGTAAGAATTTACAGTCCTGTTTTTCTTGTATCTGAAATTTATTATCATTTTTAAAGAGTGCTTACCCATGGTCCCCTGTAGGGGCCACAGGCATTAAAACGCCTCAATAAATGCGGCATCTCCTCATTGCCACAAGTTGTTATGAAGACCGGGGTACAGTTGCTTTATGCATTTGAAAACGCATCATGTGAAATATGCTTAAATACGAAGCTAGCTGTGTGGACAGTCCTTGAGCATTTAAAAGCATGGCTGTGATCACTAAGAGCCAGCATGGGTTTCTCAAGAACAAGTTATGTCAGACTAATTTTATCTCTTGTTTTGAGAAAGTTACTACCTGGATCAGGGGAATGCCATAGACATTGTTTATCTTGATTTCAGTCAGGCTTTTGATAAAGTTCCACATAATATTCTTGTTGACAAGTTGTAAAATGTGGTCTGGATCCTACTACTGTTAGGTGAATCTGTAACTGGTTGACAGATCGCACACAAAGAATACTTATGAATGGTTCCTCATCTTCTTGGAGAGGAGTGACAAGTGGAGTGTCTCAGGGATCTGTCCTGGGACCTGTTTTTTTCAATGTCTTTATCAATGATTTGGATGAAGGGATAGAGGGAATGCTTATTAAATTTGCAGATGATACTAAATTGGGAGGGGTAGCAAATATGGTAGAAGACAAGAGTCAGGGTACAGGATGATCTTGACAGGCTGGAAAACTGGGCTAAAACAAATAAAATGAATTTCAGTGGGGATAAATGATTTTTCCTGCATTTAGGTTCATCAGTGGAACAGGCTTCCTTGGGAGGTGGTGGGCTCTCCTCCTTTGCAGGTTTTCAGACAGAGGAAAGATGGCTATCTGACAGCAATGCAGATTCTGTGAACTTAGGCAGATCACTAGAAGGGAGAACAGGAAGGGCTACATCAGAGCTTAGTTTTTGTGGCCCTTCCTTACATGCTCAGGGAAATACTGATCACCACTTTGGGGTCAGGAAGCAACTGCTCTCCAGGCCAGTTTGGCCAGAGATCCTGGAGGGGTTTTGTTTTGTTTTTGCCCTCTTCTGGGCATAGAGCAGGGGCCACTGGGTGTGTGTGGGGAAGGTATTTGTGAATTTCCTGCATTGTGCAGGGGGTTGGACTAGATGAACCTGGAGATCCCTTTCAACTCTATGAGTCAATGGTTTGAGGGGAAAAGGCTTTGGGGAAACAATTGGGACGGGAGACACTTTTTCCTGGCCCCCACATCTCTACTCATGACTGAGCATTTCAGCGATTTTACTCCTTGTGAGGCTGATCTGACACACAAATCTACAGCTTCCATAGTGAAACTGCCCAGCAATCTGTTCTAATCATACAGTGGCCTGGAGTTAGGTGAAAAGGCATAATATTTTTTAAAAAATAAAATAAAATGAATAAATAAAAATAAAAAGACTTCCCTGAAATAAAGACCAGCATATCATGGAGTGGGCTGTATTAGGACTTCTCATTCCCCCACACACTTATATAAAGTTTGGTTTAGTTTTTTTAGACGGGGAAGCATTAGCAAATAATATCCTCATGCTTGCAATATACTGTACAGCCTCCTCTTGGTGCATGTATAAACCATGCCTCAGAATACAATCAACAGGAGTTTATACTTCTACAGTGCAGTGCAAGATGCGCCTCTCTGAAATGAAACACATGCAGTGCAAAGCAGCCTGGACAAAGTTACTCTTAACAACACTCTCTGGCAGTGATTTGTTTATTGAGAAAAAATCATGTTCCAGGCCAGACCAGTACTGTTTCAGAACTGGGGTTTTGGTGGGAGAATCCAAAGATATAGACAGTTCAAACGAAGCCCCCCCCCCCCTTTCCAGTACATCCAATCACACTCCCCCACCTAGCTTTCGCGCCCTCTACACCCCCACCTGAGAATATACGGTTTCTTTATCTATGATGGCAAAGCAGGCACAGTTTGGCTCCAAGGTCATCCCTGTACAAGGGAGGTAGCTTAGGAAGAGTCACATCGACCTATGACAGAGCAGTTCACACACTCAGCCACTCACAACCCCCTCAGGAATTTCCCTCCCTCTACAGGCCCCAAAACATGGCAAACTAGAGACTGAGTTTGACAATAGTGGCAGCAGGGGAGGCGTAGTTCTTCCTTCTCAGTGGGCCACAACCTAGATCATGGTTCATTCCCCAATATGTATTGTTCACTGGACATTACAAACACATACAGGCAGGAAATGCATTTCAAGATGGCTGTTCAGTGCACACTCACATTTCCTTACCTTTCTTCTTTTTTGGCTGCTCAACAGCTAGAGCACTAGGTGATTCACCAGGTGAGTTTTGGATTTGCTGAACCTCCACCACTTCCGGAATTCCATCCAGGGTGACCGAAACATGAGTAATAGGAGCAACGTCTATGTCATCCTCAGCTCCACCGAAAATGTGTGCTTCAGAAAAACAGCAGAGTCACAAAATGCTTTAAACTTTCTGGAAGAACTGGGAGCAATCAAGTTACAAAAAAGCAAGGACTAGGATAGTCTACAGAATTTGAATACACACTCAAGAAACCAACTAAAATGAAAATAAATACACAGTATCTCAACAGAGATGGCATTTTGGAGATACTAAATGTACATTACTGTTTCTCTCAAAGCTTAACTCTTTTGAAAAACTACATTCAGCAAACTATTTGAATAGTGTCATGCATGTATCATGTACAAAAAATGTTCTTAATCACCCTCCTACTTCCATTATACAAACCTTCCATTGGAACCGACATAAGAAGTCTCCTTTGTAACCAGAGATGGTAGAGAGCTTATTCCCAGCTGGAAACATTTAGTTGTTTGGTTCACTCTCTGATTTTATGCTATGTCAAGGATGTTGTCCCTAATGTAATGGCATGTGTGCCAGTTCTTTTATTTGCTATCACTACATCCATGTTACTAGATTTATTTATCAATATATGCAATAGTCAACACAGCCCCATCTGGAGATAGTTAACTCTGTAGACTGGGGCCAGACAGGAGGGGGTGACATGCCCTCTGGAAGGCACTTCACCCCTTCCTTTTTGTTGGCTGAAGAAAGCCGAGGCCAGCAGAAAAGAGGGGGTGAAATGCCCCAGGAGGCACTTCACCCCATATTTAACCCTCTAGGTTTACCACCCCCCGTTTTGAAGCACCAGGAAGTAGAACTGGAGGGTTTAAATGACTGGAAGTCAATTAAACCGCTACTTTCTGCTCCCCCCACTCACAGGGAGCAGAAAGCAGGGTTTTAAACTTTAAACAGCCCACGAACCTATACAAACAGTTCAGTTTGGGATCAGCATGTCCATGCAGTTCAGTTTGTGGTTCAGTAATGAACCATGAACCAAACCACAAAAATACAGTTCGCGCCCATCCCTAGTTCCTAGACCCCAGGACACAATTTCCTGATTTTAAGGAATCTAACATAATGAAACAGTTTCGGGTTCCAAACAGAGATTTTTTTAGCCCTGAATCTACTGAAGGCTGTAAACGTTTTATATTGACATTTATTTCAATACCTAAATCCTGCCTTTCCCCATGGCTCAAGGCAGCATAAATCCTGTCTTTCCCCATGGCTCAAGGCAGCTTAAAGGTCATAGTTAATACAATTCAAAACCAATAGAATAAAACCCAAGAGCCCATTGCAAAAATACATCCTTTGAGGAGTGAAGAAGTCAGCTATTTATTGATCAGTTAGGTCAGGGAGACTGAATAAATCCTGGGCTTGTACCCAACATACTTCCAGGCCCTTAAAGGTAACGGTAAAGGTTTCCCTTGCTTGAAAGCCAGTCGAATCTGACTCTAAGGATGCGGTGCTCATCTCCGTTTCCAAGCTGAAGAGCCAGCGCTGTCCAGATACATTTCCATGATCATGTGGCCGGCATGACTAGATGCCATGGTGCACGGAATGCTGTTACCTTCCCACCGAAGCGGTACCTATTTATCTACTTGCAATTTCTTGCTTTCGAACTGCTAGGTTGGCAGGAGTTGGGACCAGAGATAGGAGCTCACTCCGTCTTGCGGCACTCAGGTCTCGAACTGCTGAACTACCGACCTTTCAGTCTGCAGTTCAGCGTCTTAACCACTTGAGCCACCACAGCCCCTTTTCCAGGCCCTTAGGGGAACCTAAATTTTCTTAAAGGGACAGTGCTTATTTTTGTCCAATTCCTCTTCCTGCTGCAGCCCATGCAAACTAGGGATGGGCAAAAGTTGAACCGTGAAGCAAAATGCATCACAATTTTTGACCTGTTTGTAGTTTGTGAACTGAAGTTTGCGATTGGTCTACTGTCACAAACTTTTAAAGCAGTTCATGGCAGTTGGTGGATCAAGCAGAAAGCAGGGGTTTAAAGGACTTCAAGTCCCTTTAAACACCTGTTTTCTGCTCCCTACAAAAGTGTCAGCAAGCTGCCATTCTGTCTTCTGTGACCTCTGTGTACATATCCTTTCCCTGTTGCACCCGGCTTGTTTTCTATCATCCTGCTCCTGCGTTGGAATGCACAAGATAACTGCTGGAGGTTGTGTGGGGGAGAAGATGCTGTAATGCTTGCCTATTGCTTTTCTCATGAGTACTGCACCTGTGTTTTGTCTGATGTTCTGCCTGGTTCCCATGGACTGGGCGCGCAACCGTTTCATTAGCCCGCCAGCGGGAATGCTATTCATTGGATCTGTATCTGTTTGAATTTCCTTTATTATGCTTGGCCTAACTGTGTATCCCCAGTTCTAACAAAGAACGTGTTTGAGTATGTCTTCAACGCTTTGAAATAAATTTTGCTTTTCTTGAAAACGTGGATTTATTCTCGATGCTTGGGGATCCAACATATTGTTAGAACTCCCTTTTTCCTATCGTTCCGAATCTGGCAAGATCATGAGCGGAACTGAGGGAAACCTACTTAACACGGAGGGGGACTCAGGATCGGTCCCACATACCTCCGCTTCTTTGGTGTTCACGACTGCAGCCTCGGTGGAGGGTGCCGTGGGGGGAGCGATTCCCCGCCTGCTTGCACATCTGTCTTGGCCGCCTCCGACCCCTTCGCACTGGGGCCCGCGGAAGACTCATCAGCAGGATGACTGGACTATGTACAACACTCAGGGCACCCGAGAGGTGTACTCCCGTCGGGGGAGCGGATTACGTGAGAGTCTGTTTGACAAGGGATTGTTCCCGGAGCCGGGGACTACCTCGGAGAAGGGGAGTTCCAAGCAAGACCTCGAGGAGTGGATGTTCGAGCCATCGGGGCCGCGAGGCCACGCAGAAGATGAGGAGGGCACCGGAGCCTTCCAAACGGAAGAGGACTATGACCCACCCCCGGACTATCGACCTCGGGACCCCATCCCGGAGGAAACTACCGGGGAACGACTAGCAGAACTGGAAGACTCGGTGAGAGACTTGTTGCGGGCATTCCAGGATGTGATGGAAGGTCTGCCGGGAATGATGGACATTAGAATGGCTAATTTCCTTGACGCACACGCCGCGCAGCAACAAGTTGCTCCTGCACCGGGATTGCCCGCGCCGCCG